TTTCTTCAATGGAGGAGGAGGCAGTGCTTCTATTGGTAGCTACTGTTGTAGATTTCACTGCAGGGCAAGTGCCTTGTCAACTCCTCCCTTAATCAACAACCTGATCTCTAAAGGTACTAGCATGATATTTCAATCTCTTGTAGTTCCATTTGCTGCCATGTCAGGAATCTACTATGCCAAAAAGGTGGAAGTGTCATCTAGAATAGTCTTCCCCTAAATGGTGGTGCTTACTATTTTAAACTGCTGTTTAGGTCCACCGGTTGTTATCATTTTTGTCTGTGCTTGTGCTCTTCAATGTGATGCTCCTTTGAATTGACTGATAGATGAACCTTCTTCTCCTGTGTCTGTTGGTGATATTTTTTAGCCACCAAAGATGACTGGATGGCAAGCTCAGGAAGTAAGGTTGTGCTCAGAACAATATGGGAGTACAAATCCAGGAATGAAAGTGCTGACTCCTTAGTACAATTGMAAGCATGAAATTACCATATCTAAGTGACACCAGGTAACCAAGAGCAAATATGAAGTTGTGTTCAATCTTCTTCTTGAAGTCGTCCTTGAATGTTGCAAAGAATAAAATAAAATTAAATAGTATCTTTTACATCTACTTTGACGTGCCCGGTTAGCTCAGTAGGCAGAGCGTTCGTCTCATAATCCRAACTCATAGAGAAAGCGAAAGGCCGTCAGTTCGATCCTGACATTGGGCACATCTTTTGCTTCGCGCGAAGGGTGATTCCCGTCGCGGTCGCCGACATCGCCGGAAAAAAGTATCGGTATAGCTCCCGTACAAAAGCGAAGGTTGCACGACCGGACAAGACCTTGGATCTTTTTTGCAGTTGGAATACTGTGCAGAACTTCATCGCACATGCCGGTACGAGTGTGTTAGGTAGTACAAGGACCATGTCTTTTCTTGTTTTCTTCTGACCTACCGGTAGAAGTAACTTCTGTACCTTTGGCCAGATCGATGCCATTCTACGAACAAACCAACTYACCACTTGACACTTGAGCCGAGGAGTCGAGATCGAATGAAASAGGGAAAGAGTTTTGGAGGTATTTCCAATCGCCTACAACCCAAATTGCTACAGACTTGCTCCMCGGTACCTCGTACTACCAAGTCAATATATCAGCAATAGAATCATCAGTACGATGTCGACCGTTGAAGGATTGAAACCATTCTTGCTCCTGGGTGGCTACAATGCTGCCGAGCTCTGGTGGACCACCAATTTTATCCTTCCGACATGGTTGCTGATGGCGATGGCGCCTCGATGGAAACACATGCCCACTCTTACRRTTGTTTCCCCGATCTTTCACGCCGCCRTCTACTCCCTCTCGATCATTTCCGTGATGCTGGATATGGATTTGAACGACGAAAATGCTCCAGACGCGACCAGTCTCCTCGGAGTTGTAACGCTGTTCAAGAATCCCAACGTGACGTTCGCTGGCTGGGTCCATTATCTTGTATTCGATGCACTCGTCGGCCGATGGATTGTATTGGATTCCATCGAGCGAGGATGTAGCATTTGGGTTCACATTCTAGCTATTGTTCCGAGTCTATTTCTAACACTCATGTGTGGTCCAGTAGGCTGGTTGCTCTACGTTGGTGTGATCAGGACGTTCTTGCTGCCGGTGAAGGAGAACGCCGCGACCAGAGCAAAGACTGCGTAGAGCAGGCCATTGAATATGTCTTTCGAATCAGAAATGTCCACTGTTGGAAGAGATTTGGTAGGACGCAGTTTATCTTTTGCTATTTCTAATAGATAATGGACAAAAGGTTACGAATCACAGGGTGTCGAAAGTTGCTATATTTCTTGGATATGCAGAAATTGGAGAATGCACAAACGGCACACCACAAGTAGAATCTTCACACGACATCTTAATATATTGCGGGGCATTGTATTTTCATACTCTACGAAGGTGAAAAACCTGCGGGATTTCGTAATACAATGCTTGTGTACCGCATGCGTTCTTGATGAGAAACGGCGAGACTCCAACCACATAACGAAAACCTTAAAATTAAAATTATCCCATTTTCATGCAATTCTTCTACCGTTTACTTTTCAGATTTCATGGCGTCCTTSACGAAGTCAAAGGATTTGTCGTCCTTTTTCTGCGGCTTGTCCATAAAGGCAAAGGTCGATTTGGAAGCTGCCGGGTTTTGCATCACATGACCCGGCATTGTCATAAAGGTGGCTCCACGTTGCTGTTGCATCGCCATTTGCATCTGCGCCATTTGCATTTGTTGCTGCATCATCATTTGCTGGTACATCATTGCCTGCATTTGTTCGGGAGACATCGACATCATTTTYGTCTGGGTGCTGGGCGAAGCAGCGTTTTTCAGAGGATCAAAAGAGTCTGTCGATGGAGACGCGGTGGGGGCGGTAGCCGCTCCGGCGGTTGGGGTCCCCGCAGCTGTGTTCATGAAACCAAAGGCCGAACCAGTTGTTGCGGATGGAGTTGYGACAGCTGGTGCCGGTTCTGACGATTTTGGCTCGTCTGCACCTTTCASGGACAAATTGCTAAACATATCGGCAGCTGGTGCTACAGCTACAGGAGGAGTRGGTGCAGGTGCGGCTGTTTCTGTGTTCATGAACCCAAAGGCGGATTTTGGCTCTGCTGTGCCACTTGACGCCGCTGCTGGTGAGGCAGCACCTCCCGACATCAAATCGAGCAAACCATTCTCGGCTGCTGGGGCTGGAGGTGCTACTGCAGGYGGTGCTGCGGGTGGTGCAGCAGCGGATGCCGTCGATGGAGTCGATGCCATGTTCAAACCACCGAACAAACTTCCACCGCCCGCTGCTGCATTCGGAGCCTTGGGAGGAGATTGCTGGGGCGGTGGAGRAGGAGCCACCGGCGCAGGTGCTGCCACTGGTACATCGCTATCAAAGTCCAATAGATTCGCAACGGGTGCCGGTGGTGCGGCAGCAGGAGGCGCTGCTACGGGTGCAGCAGCATGCGACACCGGAGGCATGACAGCTCCACCTACGGGAGTGGCAACTCCCAGCAGGTTCAAAACACGTCTGGCCGGGTCTCGGATGGCAGCACGGGAATGATTTGCGAGTGGAGCAAATTCACCATTGCACGCGTGGAGAAAATCGGCAWATGCATTGCTCGGGGCACCGGGTTTCTGTCCGTTTTTGATGCWGCACTCCATGGCACAAAGCGCCTTAGCACGGATGATCCAAGGTTGTCCTTCTTCCATGCAATCCAAGAGAACGGGACACACGAAATCGGGATTGAGACTCGATACGACTCGCGCAAATTGAGCGAGCTTGTCCGGTGGTGGTTCTGGTTTCATTCCACCGGGCGGACAAAGTTCCATCACTAGTTGTTTTTCGTACGATCCATCCGATACTCCTGTTCCTGCACCACCACTAACACCAGCACCCATACCAGGAATCGTATTGACAGTAATGGACGGCGTCGCTTGGTGCGCAGTTGCTGCTGCACCCCAGCTTCCACCTACACCACCCGCAGCACCACCAGCATTCGCCTGCGCCCAGGAATAAGCGTTGCCACCTGCGGCTTCCCTCGATTTGTAATATGCGGAATCGTTGGCGTAATTTGGAGGTGGCGCCACCGCACCCGSTCCACGATTCGACGCCATGGTCCATTGTCCATTCGTTTGGTTCATCAGATTCGATCTACCTGGGGGGSCACTATTGAACTGACCTCGGCAAAGAGCAACGTTGATTGTTTCGTCGTCRAAAAGGCACGATGATGACACAAATTAGWCTTTCGGGTCAAACGAGCAAAACAAATCCGGGTCTTGCACACGTCGGCAGCAAAACAATAAACTTACCGAACCTCCTGGTCCCGAATAGCTTCCCGGACGAGGCATCTGGCCCTGTCTATTGCTTATCTGCACAGAGGCATTGCGCGCCAAGGGATCCTTGATCATACCAATKATGGTGTCTTTCGCCTCACTGACGACCTCGTTGACCGTCATGTTACTAATGCCCTGGGGCTGGGGTTCCAATCGGGGATCACTGAACATGGGGTTGCCAATGCCCTCCATGCGGCGAGGCCCAGCTCCCGCACCGGGAGGCGGGGCACCCCCGTAGCCTCCCGAAGGATTCCCGTAGCTGCTCGAGACCGACGAGGCAAAGGAACCACCTCCGCCGGACGGAGCCACGGCCGGCGTGTCGGAATAGATCGCATCGAGTGCTTCCTTAGCAGCCTGGCGCACCTTTTCGAAAGGCTGATCTCCACGCACCGGATCCGGGCGCCCCCGAAATTGCGTGGCCTCCTTGATCGCGGCCATGGCTCGGGGATCCTGCGACAGGCAGCGCTTGAATTGCCCTCKCGAATAGGGAGATTCGGCGGTTTTGGCAATGACCTTGAGGCATTTGAATTTGATGTTTGGGTTGTTTTTGGACGCCAGTCGCCCCGTCAGGTACTTGGCAATATCGGCGCTCGTTTGCGGGTTACCGGCGGCGTTTTTGGCAATGTCCAGATACATGTAGCCCGGAGTTGGGGCTTCGGAGTTCTCCGTGGCGCGGGCCAGCAATTGACGATCCATGGTGGGGTCTTGGYAGGCAAATCGATGCAGAAGCCTGTGTGTACTTGTTTGTGTTTGTGTATCTTTTCAAACACAATACAGCAGTGTCAATCAAGTCAAGTCAAATCCAATCCAAGCCAATCCAATCGAAACGAATCGATCCGAATAAATCCAATCGTCTGTTCAACTGAAAATGCGTGACAAMTACTCGGCAGTGAAAGACTCCTCGCCGATACTCCTTGTTTCGTTGATMAAAAGATACCTTAAACAATTTGCAAGGATACTAGGACTGTCAAATTTCAATACAGTCACAACAGGTGGCGATGAGCAACGACAGCGGCGATAGGTGGATCGATGGAGATTGAGGGTTACGYACCGTCAGAATGTTTTGACCAWGGATGCCTYKGGTTAGAAAGTATTTAAAAACTGGGGTACAAGTATTTTTTCTACCGTTCGCCACAGCAGTKCGGCCGGTCTACTGYGTAGTACCAAGTACGGGTACTTGTCCACGTACTTGTASCRTACTTGAAAACAATTCTCTCTAAAACAGGCGCATTTTTGTAGCAGAGGTATCTAGATTACGTATMGAACAGTACTGAACGTCTTATTGGGTTGGCTCGCGACAMGTTTTAACTAGCCGTTGCAATTACGTCCGATCCCGCGGGATTGGAAAATGAGATGTTTCTCACGAAGGAAGAGTGTTTCTTTAAGAATTCATATGTTCTGTATGTACCATAGATATTACCGACGTAACAATTGAACTGTGCCAAACGCTGTACCGTAGACCGTAGCACACAAATGATCCGGCAGATACATATTACTTCTAATTGCAGAATCTGAACAACTATCCAGACAATCCAATTACTCCACTCTTTAGCTTTGCCCTCTTTTGTTTTCACCACCCGCTAAGTTTTGGCAAAGCATGCCAACGGATCGAATTTCTTGCGTTGGAACATATCGAATCCATTTGGTTGTGCTCAAGTATTCTTAGTTTTGCTAGTCATGGTCGAGTTCTGGACCGCTGGTCGAGGCGCCGCCGCAAATGAGACCGGAGCCACAGTTGGTGCCTTTGGTGGTGCCGGACGTTTCGGTGTGGTGCCGGCGGCTATTGCGGCTGCGGCAGCAGCGACCGCCGAAGGCACCTGGGACTTCACCGGTGGTGGTATCCTGCCCGATGTGATCGAAGCCACGGTGGTCTTGGTGGTCGTCTTTCYCGAAATTGTCAATGAGGATKGRGTTATTGTCGATCGYTTGTGAAGCGAAGGAGGAGGTGTAGTTCTCCCAMCACGGTTCCTTCCAGAGGATTCTCGCTTATGGGGAGGCACGGCCGGGACGACAATCTTTGAATCTCCCACCTCCTTGATGCGGGCCTCTAATCCTGCGAGCTGGGACTCAAGAAAACGAGAGTGGCAATCCAAACGTTCCCTCATCTTGATCAGGTGCTCGACCTTTCCCCGGCGACAATAATCAAGAAGAATTTTCATATATTTTTCGGGAATAATGTTGACCCCGAAACGCCTGGAWATCTGCATGCATTCTCGAGCTCCGGGTTTACGCCGAGGGATTTTCGTGATTCCCTTTTTAGTTCCCTTGTCTTCGGGTTCRGGGAGCGCCCTGACGGCAGCTTCCAGAGCCACAAGGTCCAATATGGGCGTGCTAGGATAGTTCGGAACTGCTGTAGTACTGGAGCTTGGTTTACTAGAACTAATCGGAATCTCGTTCTTCGATGCTGGGGTAGGTTTTTGGACTACATTSGCGGAAATTGTACTCGTTTCATTCACTGTGGTAGCACTCTTAGTAGGAGCATTAGCGGCGGCAGCCACAGATGGAGTGTTGATCGCTGGGGGGAGAGATGATGATTGGGATCCTGCCTTGTTGATTATCATAGGCTTCTTGGCGACAGCAACCGTATTTGCAACGCCATTTTTCGTACAACTCTTCTCTTCACTACGAGCTGAATTGTTGATAGGTATTTTCGAAACCATGGCATTCTCTGCTTTGTCTGTTGGCTTCAAGTTGTCCAGAAGCGTTGYTTTCTGCGGCAATCTAGGCGTGGAAGAATCCAAAACGGGCTTCATTCGGACTGGTTGGGCTGGCGTATCTAATACGGGTTTTATRAGGACGTGTGGGATTAACGACGCGGTTGGATCCAATGCAGATTTATTTCGAATGGGTGCAATGGGTGGTGCGGGCGGATCCAGGATGGGTTTCATTCGAACGGGTGCAACGGGGGGCTGACCCGAYATTTCGTKGTCCTTGTCTTCGGCTGCTAACGATACCGAAATATCGCTCTTTGTTGATWCGGTCTTGCTACCGAGGGAAGCAACCTTGGGTCGGGGTTGTGCTTTCTCTTCTACCTTTTGTTTTTTGCGTGTTGGTTCGGGCGGTTCATGCACCTTCTCTGGCACCTCCTTTTGCCTCCGATCGTGACCCCGAGTTTCTTGAGACTTTGAAACAATTGCTTTCGGAGTGCCGTTTCTTGTCTGATTCTCTTCCACTTGAGGTGTCTTAGAAGCTCTAAGATGCTGTTCCCCYTCATCAACTTCGTCATGAAAAGATGCTCTCTTAACGGTTCTACCACTGACACGGCTGACCTTAACCTTCATAKGCTCTTGGGATCTTCCTGCAACTTCGGATGCAGTAGAAGAGCAGGAAGTTTTAATGGAAACAGTCGACACAGGAGGAGAGATTGGTTTTGTCGCTTTCTTTTTTCCACCTGAATCGACTTTGTTTGTAATCAACGCCGGGTCAGGTGAACACTTGGGTGGCCTTCCCCTCTTTCGCGATGCAGTCTTCGATGTTACAACGGGTGCTTCTACAGCGGTCTTTGGAGGCCTTCCTCTTTTTCTTCCGGAAGAAGGTGGAGTAGCAGCAGTAGCTTTAGCAGAAGAAAAYGAGGAGGAAGTGTTCGTAGTCGACTTCTCTGGCCTTCCACGTTTCCGTTGATRTTGTTGCTCTGTTGGGTCAGCCGAGTTTGCAGCCGCTTTCGGAGTTTTAACTCGTCTGCGAGGAGGTAGCTGAGGAACAGGTRAAGGTTCATTTTCRACTTTTATTTTCGGGGGGCGACCTCTGCCCCTCCTTCTCGGGGTTTCGACAAGCGTCGACCTTGTGGTCGTCGTTGTTGATATCTTTGCTGCTGTCACTYCGGCTGCTATAGCCTTGTTCTTTTTGGAGGAATGTCTTCGTTGCGTATTTTCTTCCGTGCCAGTACCACTCATGGCTTTCGCTACCGCCGATGCCCTGCGTTTGGATGACGGCCTAGTTACARCAACGTCTTCAGTTTTGGTCTTSTCACAATCTGGGCAGTACCAGTTTTTAGTCGATGGCACGCTTGAGAGTCCAAGGCAGATAGTGTGATATTCATTATCGCAACTATCGCACAAGAGTAGCGTGCTTTTGTCGTGTTTACCAAAGCAAACCCGACACCCGCAAAACACACAGATGGGTATCGATGGGTCATCGTGGCAGAAATTGCAAAATATTCTTTCATTGCTTTTCCTCTCGCCCTCTGCTCTRCCAACGCGCACGGCAACATCGTCTTCTATTTCGTGTCCCAAAACACTTTCCTTACGGGTTCTGACGGTCGTCTTCGACGAGTTGCTTTTTGTCGACTTGGGATCGACTTCGTAGTCTGCGCTATTTCTACTGGAAYCACTGTCGTCTTCGCTGCTGCTCTCAAAACTGCTATCAGAGTGATCATCGGCCTTCCTCTTTTTTTCATCTGACTTCCATTGAGAATCTGCACACATTTGAGGTTGATACAATGAGGGTTGTTTGCGCTGGCGTCTACTACGAACCACRAGACTTTCTGCACCACTTTTTCTGTCCAGAGACGTGTTCCGTTTACTATCGCTATTGCTGCTTACGGAAGAATTGGCGGATGGAGTGCTCGAAACAACAGATGATGATGCCGTATTTACTTTCTCTTTTGAATGCTGTTTTCGAGAAGTTTCTTSAGATGCCTGCCTTTCAGAATCTCCTCKTCCTTCAATATTGCCTTTCCTCTTTCCCTTCTCACTGTTTTTGGTAGACGACTGTTCTGTCTCAATTGAATTTGTTCCATTGGGGGCTTTGGATTCCTCTTCTTCGACTGTCGTTCCTCCCTCGCCYTTTGTACCCTGAATTGTATCATCTTTGTTCTTTTCTTCTTCGTCGTGTTCTTCTTCTCTTTGCACTATTTCCTTTTCTAATTTCATTTTATTCATCTGTCGGATCCCTGAAGCGGCAGATTTCCAGGTTTTGGAGTGGCGTTTGTAATTATGAATGCCTTGGGTGATGCAGTAAGGGCAGCTCCAACTGGATGGGATTGATTTCATGACGGGTCGCACACAATCCTGGTGAAAGGCAAGAGTGCAGGTAGAACAGCAAACGAGTTCTCCTCCTAAATTGCATACGTCGCAGACATTGTCGTGTTGATTTAAAAATTCTTSYGTGTCTATTGTTTCGTCACTGCTACTGGTTGCACTTTTTTCGTCGTCATCGGTATCGATATCGTGCGTACTCTTATCTTCGAAACCCACAAGATATTCGTAAAAGGCTATCGCATGCTCCGCGTTCGATTTTCGGCCCGGGCCAGCCTTTCTCTTTTCGTGTTTGCTGTAACGTTGAAGGAACGCAATGGTTTCAAAGGTGAGGACCACCAATCTACCTCATCTATGAACTGTTGATTCTTGCATTCACTGGGCCATCTACRAATCTATCCAAAGAAGTACTTACCGTCGTTCTTTCAACAAAGCGAGCGTTTGACGRGCCACCTCCTCACGCTTCGCCTTATCGCCATCAAGGGATTTTAAAAGCGCTTCGGCCTTTTCTTCCCATGATTCTGGACGCGGTGCTGCGCAAAGGTACTTCTTGACAACCATGRCAACAGAAAGAGGGACTATTCGATAGCGTGTAACATCCAGGGATGATCTACTTGCCCTGTTGGAATGAGTAAAGATATACTTCTACTACCGTACCAAGTTGAAAGTGGATGGAACAAAGGTCATGATCGATTGTTGTCAGTTGAAAATAATGCTAGTACGAGTGCAAGTATCGTACTCGTACTACCATACTGCAACGGAACCGTATCGTACCGTACTTGTGTAAGTAAGATAAAAATAATGAAAACTTTCTCTGTCTTATAGTCTACCGGCCAGTACGTACCAGTACTAAATCCAATAGTTCTCATGGTTGTAATTAAACTATGCTGAACTCTYATTTCAGATTGTTCAATCTTGTCCTCTTCCAGAGATCTTCCAGAGGAATAGAACCGCAGAAAACTGATTATTTTAAAATCCAGCATGGGAGAAATTACTATGACATGACAAGAAGAACTTGGTGTWGTTTTGATTATTCCAATTGATGACCATCCTCAATGATRGCAGCATCCCCGTTTTACACGTGTTTTTCCTTGCATTMTTGCCCAGTGCTAGTACTAATGACTAGTRATAAATATATTCACCAGTTTAAGATGCTCCATCATCACTGAAATTGTGGTTGATCCAAGGACCAAGCGAGTCAGGATGGATGTTGCTATAGTTTGACTATGAATTTTCCATGGTCTGAGCAAGACCTCATAGGAGATCAGATTCAGAAAATTCTACGATTACTGCTGAGACGGAGCAAAGTCCAGAGTTTGCTGCTCCTGGCCACCGGCAACTGTTCTTCGTTCAGGAGGCTTCATCTGCAAAATCTTAAGCATGGGCGAACTTTCAACATTCGATACATCTTGAGGAGTGATGAAGATAAACTGACGATGACACATCTCTCTTCCAACCTCAATTAGTAAGTCAATGACTTTATTTCTTGCGTTCGGATCGAGAAACACATCGAACTCATCCATCACACGGAAAGGAGTTTCCAATGATTCTCCCAAGGCCAATAGAAGGGCAATGGTCCTACACAAGACAAACAATCCAAGAAAGAGGAAAACATTCAGGATCCACTTCGTTGCAAGCGCAAGAGTACAGGACAAAAAAGTTTCATACCAAATACAAGTCATTTTGATTGCGATATGACAACTTACGTGAATGACCTTTCCCCACCACTGAGAGCCTTCACGTCTTTTTGCTCAGTCCCGTTATCGTTACAATCCTTGTAAACACTCAAATTTAGTTCTTCTTTGTGGTGATCGAATTCGATCGTTCCGGCGGAGCCTTTGATATGGACTATTTTTTTAAAACAAAAGATCAGATGGTAAGATTGAGATGAGAATTGCCGACGATTTGGTGCCGAAATTTTCACCAAGATGGATGCAGACCATAATACTTACGAGTTTCGTTAAATTTCATGCCCGTGAAATCACTGATGTGATCACGAAAGTGTCCCCAACGTCTCTCTCTTTGTTCCATATCTTGCTTCAATTTGCTGGTTGTATCTTCGATTTTTTCGATTTGATGTGATTTCGCTTGAAAAATGGACAGAGCACGAGTATATTTGGCATAGGCAGTTGCTTCGTCGTCCCCATTTTTAAGACGTCGTTGCCTCTCAGCTTCGATTCTCGCTGCAACTTGTTCCATTCTGCCTTTGTAGTAGTCAGGATGTTTCAAACCATCAAGATTCTGTGGAATCTCTATCATCGCAAGATCTTCATCTGTTGGTTCTTCATTGTACACCGACATCTGCGTTTCACCCATTTGATCCCCATTTTCTCCGTCTTCTCTCTGCTTTCGGCGTCGTTCCGCCTGGTCGTTGACATATTGGACCTTCCTTGCCATATCCAAGAACTTAATTGATACCTCCTGCGCATCTCTGACTATTTCTGTATGCTGGGAAACAAGCTCTTCGTATTGCTCAAGTTTTTGCCGTTTCTTCTCTAATTTTTCCTTTTGAATTTCTATCGCTTGATAGTGTTGACTTAAAGCTTGTTGTGCTTCATCTAAATCATTCAAAATCATTTCATTTCGGTTTGTAATTTCATGAAGCTTATCTTTGATCTGTTGAATCTCTGGAACTTTTTCTTTCATCAAGTCCTGCGCTTTCTCTTGATTCTCCTTGACCTTTTCTAGATGGGCTTGGGCTGTGGATACTTCCTCCTCCTCCTCCGAAGTGTCGATGTCGTTGTCGACAAAAGCTGCTTCCTCTGCTTTAATCTCATCGATTTCCTTCGTTGCTTGATCAATCTCACGTTCATTGTTTCTTAATTCTCGCCTCTTAATGTTCCACTGCTTTTTATAGTCTGTGTGCTTTTGGTTCAACCTATTGAAATCGAGATTCTTTTGCCTCAAGTTTTCCTTGATGCTTTGGAACTCGTTTCTTGCATCTTCAACGGCCGCAGTCATGTCGACACCAATTGTCTTCTTCAATCTGCGGGTATTGGAAGTCATATGCAAAATACCTTTGGTGACTTTCCAATTATCTCCATTCGGAAGAAAGTAGACTTCTTTGATATTTCCTCCCCGAATGGCATTGCGATTGTTGTTGTCTTTGACAAGTAGCAAGTCTTCACTCTCTTTCTTATCACGAGACAGGGCTTTCGTTTCAATTTTAGCCGAGTCGATGAGGCAATTGAACACCGAATCATTCTGAATAGAAACAACGGTTGCGACTGTCTCGACACCCTTTGGCGGTGCCGGAATATTGTATCGAGCATGCTGGGACTGCTGGAAAATCCCACAGTCCATCTTACACCTAGCTCGGTTACGTATACTCTGAAAGGTCTTTCGGTCGGCATCGTTGAACACAATGAATCTATCCAATACACCATTCCCGATGGCTTGTTCTGCCAACGCGGCGAACTCTTCTTTTCCCGGTTGGATTTTGCAGTAAAAGCCTATTGGTCCAATAACGGGTGCCTTGAATCTACCCTGTTGAGTTGCTTTGTCTACCATTTGTTTCACTATGCCACAGTTCCTGCCAAATATYTCGAGGGAATTTCCCGAAGAGGATTCCATCGATCGAATTTTGCCTTCGATTCCTCTCAGTTGATTTTCKAGTTGCGAGACAATTTGTTTTGCTCCCATTACTTCCGGTTCCAAATCTTCGTAGGAGTTCAACGCATCCGTCACAGCCTGTTTGATTTCGTTGCGGCGARTTTTTTCCTCTGCAATCTTCTTCTCGGCAGCTTGCAKTCGTTGATTTCTGCGTGCTTGTTCCGACTCGGCCGATCCAGCCTTCGCCACAATCTCGTCACGCTTGGCTTGAAGGGCTTGATTCGCCTCTAACAAAGCTCTGTTAATACTTTCTTCCTCCTTTTTCAGGAGCTTAAATTGTCTAGCCAATGCCTTCTGGGGTTCGGTTGCTTTTTTGAGTTGCTGTTCCAAATCCCGTTTCAGAGTCGCCATGGTATCTGCCTCGGCCGTGAGSGTATCTAGACGGTTGCGACGCTCATCGTTTGGGTCGTCGGCCTCCTGGGTAACAGCCTCAGCTTGCGTCAATTCTTGTCTTTTCTTCTCGGCTTTTTCCTTAAATTTTTCAAATTTCTGTKACGGTTATTYAAAGCAACAGAAAGATACAATGATGAGATGAAAACATGAAGAAAATTCAGAATTGTGTTRACACAAATGAAGCAATACGTACGAATGTTTTTGTATGCTCGTCTTCAGTGACAAKTTTGTAGTTTGCCCACCCCATATTGATCTGGAGCTTCGAATATTTCCCCTCTAGTTTCCCGATAGCCTGATGCTGTTTGTATGCCTTCTTGGTCTCCTSGACCAGTTCRCKGTCTCGATCGAGTGACTCCTSAAGTCTATCCGATTTGACTTCCATATCCATTAGCTGTTCCTTCGTGTTTCGGAAGGTGTTATCGATTCGCTCCAGTTCGGTTGCCTTTACGAAGAATTTGTATTTGTCTTTGGCTTTSCCGGTCAAAAACTTCTTGGCTTCTTCCTGATCCAAAATGGCCACCGGATTCTCAACCTGGATATTGAGCTTGTCCAGCATCTCATCGAGGTCCTTCTTCGACCTCGACTGCTCAATRTTTTTCGCACTGTACAACTTATATCCATTGTAGCCTCCCCGAAGTGCAATTGTCCTTTCTACGGTAATGTGGTCCCCATATCTTTCGTGTTGAAACGCATCATCGCCCTTGTTGAGCAAGGTGACACGAATCTTKGCGCAATTKGAKGAAGTATCCTTGCGAACTAAATCCTTCAGATTKCGTGCTCGRTGTGTACGACGGGCTCCGGCGCCCAGGCATATCTGAATRGCTGCCAAGATGGCCGACTTTCCCGATCCATTTTGGCCGTAGATGAAGTTGACGTTTCGGTTCAGGTCTACGGTCAATTTGCGATGGCTTTGTATTYATTGCAATGGAATTAAGATCGAGCGATGGGGTAAGMTGTTYGAATATGGAACCTTGAAGGCATMTCGCAAATTAGTTGGCCATCCCCGTTCCATACGCTTCGTTCCCTCTTCCATTCCATTCCATCCTGGTCCGTTTTGTTGTTACTTACCACATRAAGTTTTCGGCGTAAATCCTTGTAATTACTCCCGCCTCGGGAGGTTTGTTCGGTTTGTTTATGTTGCGGCCTGCAAGAAAATCAGTGGCATCGGTCGAAGAYTCGTTSGTCGTTCTGCGGCGGGAGGCAGAAGAGGTACGGCGCCCGTTATTTTCCTTGTCTTGGGTCGTGTCGTTTTCGCTRCTTTCATGGGACAGTGGCTTGCCGGCCTTTTGTTTTTTCCGCCGGGGATTTTCGGAGGAAGACTTCAACCCAGATCCCCGTTTGCGGGGGGACACCGACGMTTCGTCTTCGTTTTCGATCTCGTCGACGTGTTCGGTCGACTCCGCTTCGACGTATGCGTTCGGTTCTACGGAAAGATTGTCCATGGCGGCCATCGTTGGCACGAAGTTTTAYAGGRACGGAGGAATTGCCCAGTTAAAATATTWATACCTAGAAAAGATACCAAGCTGTGCCAAAAGCAGCGAAATGAAGCTGCTCCTTGAGATATATTGCGTCGGAAGGATGGTAATGATGAAGAAAGACGAGCAGTGTTCARCACGAAGGTSTTGTTTTCCGTCGATGTCTTGTTCCGCCGGTAAGGTAGTAGAAGTACGGTACAGCATGATTGACCCCAAAAAAACTTCGTTGTTGCTTCGACCGGTAACCTCATTTCTACGTTGCGGCTCGTAACTTGGTGCAATGCGATACKTTTTTTTGCGCGACGTACAGTAAACAGAGAATTAACAGTTGAGTCTAGCGCATAGCCTCTATTTTGCCCGCGCCTGCAGAGCATGACAAAGATCTTTTTCTCGTAAAGGATTTTCGTACAAATTCTACATGACAGTGGAGTAAGCTTTTGGCGCGGATAATTCATTTCGATTTTTTGATGAAATATAGATTCCCGCAGACCCTAAATTATGGAGTATAGATTCCCGCAGACCCTAAATTATGGAGCAGAACTAAAACGACTTAAGTGTCGCAACAACCTCTCCACGAGGCATCAATCAAATCAAAATAACAATCTCACACCTCGGATAGTCAGTGACGAGAAGAGTACACACCGAGAGGTACGGTCGAGATCAGGAGTACCATACAAATACTGTAGCAAGTAAAGCCGAAGCAACGAAAGAATAATACCAAGATGGCGACGACTCTAGTGGCTCGCCCGACARTATACACCGAAACAGAAACGACTTCGTTCGCGGCGGGATTGGATTCGGGGAACGGCGATCGATCCCCGCTGTGTCGTCAGTTTTTGGTTCGGTTTCAATCCAAGACCCACGTGATATCCCTCGGCAACAACGAGGATACCGGGAGCGACGATGTCCTGGGGGCTCTCACCGAAAGCCGACTCCTCCGGGTCCTGGCCGACCGCACGGGATGGAGTGTTTTGCACCTGCGCGTCAGCCACTTTGCCTTCCCCTTTGTCCGGGTCACCGCCCGCTCCTCGATCCTGGGTGGAAAGGGAGGCTTCGGGACCCTTCTGAAGGGGCAGTCCAAGCAAGCCGGCGCCAAGATGACCACGGATTTCGGAGCCTGCCGGGATTTGCAGGGCCGCCGTCTCCGACACGTCAACGACGAGATCAAGCTTCGCAAGTGGAGGGAACGCAAGCGSCGCGAGGCGGCCGGAGAGAAGGTCGACGCCGACGAGATGTGGAACACTCCCTCGGGTCTGTACAATTGGCACCTAATGACACCCACCTGGGCCGATATTTCCAAGAAGGCGACGAACAAGATCAAGCGACAATTCAAAAAAATGGACCAAAAGCTGGAGAAGGAAGTCGCGATGAGAAAAGAAAAGGACGAGGCCTACCAGAAGACAATGACGCATTATTTGGACCAGACAAATTCCGTTTCCGAATCCGTGCAGAAAAACCTAGGGGACGCAATCAAGCAAGGGTTGGCAAGAAAGGCACGGGCTGTCAATGGCAAGAGCACGACAATCAATGCAGCAGCTGCGTCCTCCAACAAAAGAAAACGCACCGAAACGTCGGCGATGGGCGGAGTTTCCTCCCACTTTCYGGACGGCGATGAGCAACCAAATTCGCTGGTGAGCCTTACGGGAGACGTTGTGGTGGAACCCACTCCCGGCACCGATTCGGTAAAGATTCAATCCAAATCGGAGTTTATGACGTCGGTCTATGTACTGGAAAGAAASGTAGGGGGCGAACAATCGTCTCTTCCTGGTTCCTACTATTACGAGGTTACCCTCGTWACCGGTGGATTGGCACAGATCGGCTGGGCCTGTATCGTGAATGACGGCAGCAAGGGCAGATCTTCCTCGTTCACACCAAGCAACGACCTAGGAGACGGGGTGGGTGACGATGCCAGCAGTTTTGCGGTGGACGGATCGCGGGGGCTCAAGTTTCACGGAGGGGAGGAATGGAAGTTTCCCATCGAGTGGAAAGCGGGCGACCGRCTGGGCTGCCGGTTGGTCGTCCAATGCGGTACCGGTKCGGTGGCCAGTGCGAACGAGACCGGGAGCCTTTCGTTCACACTGAACGGCAAAGACCTGGGGGCGGCGTTCACCGAGATCGATTCCGAGGGAATGGTGCCGGCGTTTTCTTGCAACCAGGGCGAGATCCTGGAGCTGCACCTCACGAAACGGGACTGCAAGTACTTTCCAACCGATGACCCAACCGTGGTTGCGGTGAAGGACCTCGCACCGTCCGAGCCCGTCGCGAAGGAARCACCAAAACCGARCGAAACCGAGAATGCACCTGCATCGAACGGCAGTGGCGCAGACAAAAATTCCAAGCCGGCGCCGGGTCCCGYCCCGTCCCCGGCACCACCGAGAGCGCGGGCACCAACCCGGCCCGAGCCCCTGGACCTCGGTCCCTACGGGTCCGCTGGCGAGCTCTCGGAACTGGGCCTGGACCGTCTGAAGKCCGCTCTGATGGCGCTGGGGGCAAAATGTGGGGGCACGCTGGAGCAGCGGGCGGAACGGCTCTTCTCGCTGAAGGGACTCGACCCAAAGGACTTTCCGCCAAAGGTCCGGGCCAAGGGATTCGTGGAACCGTAGCGAGAAGGCAGGGCACCGATGGCGCTGCCGTGCTTTGCGGTGCATGCAGATCGAAAGGGGCGAAGCTTCGAAGCACGGAGGAGTCGCACCAATTCGTTCTAGGCACCATCGACCTCGGACCTCGGACGCTGCGCGCATCGGTATGTACCTACGTACTGTTGAATTAGAGTGCAYGAGTCAATTCGCTATCAGCCTAGTACAAGTACCGGTACGAGTACTACAATGAACAAGGTTTGGTGAATTACGAGTACGTACCGTACGTAGGGTAGCGTTGTAGAGTAGAGTACTCGTACGTACCGAACGATGTTTTCCCTATTCTAGCACACTCTACGTTTACGAACCATGAATTCGTATGTGCGCAACGGTACTCGTACGACGAAAGTGCTGTATGAAACTGTAGAATCAGTTCGCGCCAAAAAGTTGCGCGCAACTTTTTCGAAGTCCTCACTCCGAAGCGTGCTTATTTTGATCGCGCTCTGGTACGTAGCGTACGAGTACCGGTACGTCTCGAAACGGAGTTAACTGTAATGTAGGCTACGTACGAGTACGTACTGCAGGACTGAAAGATATTGTTCTCTCCATGAAACCCGTCCGTGCGAGCGATAGATGCCTCAGTGTTTGAACCCAAGGAAAAAATTGAAATTTGGAGAGTTCGATCAAGGCCGTATGTAGCATACGATGCGGCAAGAACTGTAGCCGTACGACTCGTTTTGCCGTTTGTGTCGATTTCAACGACAATATTGTRCTGCTTCTCGTTGCGAAGCCATATTTCGTTCGAAGGGCAACCCCACAACAAGGGCACCGTTTCACCAAGGAGTTCCCCGTCCCCACGCGCCATCGTGCTTGAACTGTTTGCTTTCCAAGCCATCGCATTCCCCGCCATTGACAATGTCCAGCGAGGACGAATTTGGAGACACCTCGTTCCTCGACGATTTCGACGTCGACGCCGCCGGATCCGCCGGATCCGCCACCCCGGAGAAGCGTCCGCATAGAACGAGCGGAAGCGACGGCTTCGGGGATACCTCGTTCCTGGATGATTTCGATGTCGATGCCGCGGTTGCTGCGAGAGGGGGTCYCCCGGCCAACAAGAAGCGGCCCAGGGTCACACCGGAACCCCACCCGGGGCAGCGGCACTGCCGGCACCCATCGACTGCTTTCCCGACGGAGGAACTGGAAGCCTGCGCGAAGCACTACTACGGGTACTCCTCCTACAAGAGCGGCCAGCTCGATGCCATCCGGGCGGTGCTGCGGGGCCAGGACGCAACGGTGTTCTGGGCAACCGGTTCGGGAAAGTCTCTCTGCTACCAAATACCGGCCCTGTACTCGAAGAAGACGGCGGTGGTGATCAGCCCGCTCATTTCCCTCATGAAGGACCAGGTCCTGCGCCTGAACGGTCTTTCCAGCGAGGCCCTCGCGACCTATCTGGGTTCGGCCCAGACCGACGGTGCGGAGGAGCAGCGGGCTCTCCGCGGAGACTATCGGTTGGTGTACATCACCCCCGAGAAACTCATGACCGGCGGGTTTCTCGATCGACTGGCAGCCCTCGACCTGTGCTGCGTAGCCGTAGACGAGGCCCATTGCGTCAGCCAGTGGGGCCACGACTTTCGCAAGGACTACCTGCACGCGGGAGAAGCCCTCCGAAACCATCCGAGGCTGCGCACGGTTCCGATCATCGCCCTGACGGCAACCGCGGTCCCCCGGATCCAGAACGACATTGCCAAGAATCTCCGGCTCCGATCGCCCCACGTCAACAAGCAATCCTTTGACAGGACCAACCTGTCCATCCGGGTCACCCTCAAGGAACGGAACCATCCWCTGCCGTCCGCTATGGAGCCCCTGATACGCTCCTTGCTTCGCGAAGAAAAAGGATCCGGCGGTGCCAGCAGCACCATCGTTTACGCCGCCACGCGAAACGCTACGGAAGAAGTCGCCTCGTACCTGCAGCAGCGCCTCTGCAACAAGAACAGCGCCGTGGACGTTCGGGCCTATCACGCGGGCATGACCACGGACCAAAGAAACGAAACCCACGTTCGATTTCTGACGGGAAAGACCGCTGTCGTCGTGGCAACGGTTGCTTTTGGAATGGGGATCGACAAACCAGACACCCGGCGCGTCATTCACTGGGGCCCGCCCAAGAGCGTCGAAGAATACTACCAGCAGATCGGTCGTGCCGGGCGCGATGGCTTTCCCGCGGAATGTGTTCTGTATGCGTCTCCCAGCGAGTTCGACAAGTACATGGACGATTTTTACATCGGTGACCTCGACGGTCCGGCTCGACAGGCTTCGATCCAGAGCACCCGAGCCCTCAAATCGTTCGCCCTGGACAAAGAGGGATGCAGACGCAAGGGCCTCCTCGATTTCTTCGGAGAAACACCGGCGTTCGGCGAGCGATGTGGAACGTGCGATACGTGTCTCGCGGCGAAACAATTTGGCGACGACGCACTCCGTGACTTTGGGCCCGARGCGAGGCTGGTCTTGTCGGCGGTGTCCGGATTGAGGGAAGCATCGATCGGAACCATCGAGAAGGTTCTAAAAGGCAACATCGTCGAGGGTTATCGCTACGCCTACAGARCCAGCCCMGAAGCCCTCCAAACGATGATGACGGAAACGAGAAAGGCGTTGCCCAGAGCCAGAGCATCGATTCAGTTCTTGCGAGAGATGGTATCGACCCTTTCGCAGAAGGGGTATTTGACCGAAGCTACCAAGTCGGCAAACCTGGGTGGYGGGAACTACAAGAGGTCTTGGACCGTCTACAACATCAACGAGACCGGACGGCGGTGTTTGGGCGGGACCGAAAAGGTCGTACTTCCKGTGCCGGAATCAATCCGTGAAGCAGAACGCCAAGAAAAGGCGAGAAAAGATAGGGTCCTCAAAAATCTCGAGGAGAAGGGAGTTTCGCTCGACAAGCTGCCGTCCGAGGAATTGGAAACGGGCGATGGCGAGGTCATCCGAGCCTAYACGAAATGGAACAATTACGTGGCCCTACAAGAGAAGCTCGGAAAGGAAGGCAGGAACGCAGAGCTGGAAGAATTGCTGTCGCTGGTRCAAGAGTGGCGATCCAATGCCGCCRTCGAGCACACAATGGCCCCGGCGTCGGTCTTGCCGGAGCACATCATGCTCTCGATCTCCTATGCCGTGGCAACGTATCCGGCCGGGGTAAAAGTATCCAGATCGGATTTGATTGCCGCGGGAGCGAGAACTCGCGAGCTCGAGTCACTGGCGGACATTCTCAACAGCTGGATCGATCGTTATCGTGCGGCCGACAATCCATCGGGAAGCTCTTCCGCATCGGACCAGGCAAAGGACGTTCCGATGAGGTTTGCTAGCGGTGGTCCGACTCAGGGAAAAAAGTGGGAATTTGCGGTCTACAAACCCCAAAAGAAAACGGGAATGGCAACCTGGGAATCCTCGTACGAACGATTTGCCGCAGGCGAGTCGCCACAGGCCATATCCATGTCACCGGCAAACKGCCGGCCCATCCAAGTGATGACTGTGGTGGGTCACATACAGGACGCCTTCTTGCACGGCAGACCCGTCGATTTGCAACGCCTCTCCTCGATATCGAAGCCGCCAACAAAGAACCAATGGATGGAACTCGAGCAGGCAAAAGAATCGACCGGAATGGATCCAGTGGGCAACCCCTCGTGTTCTGGYSTCGATGGAGGTTCCTTCACGYTGACCGAATTCCTGCGCCCCGTGATGGGCGACGACTTYATGGAAACCCCCCGGGAAGACCGATCCGAAAGCGACAAGGCAAGGTTTGGAGAGTGGTGCGGCGTGCTGAAGTGGTATCTCTTCATGAAGCGAGCCGGTGTCGAGCCGGTCTTTTGASTGYGCTGCATGGAAAATCCCGCCTTTCGAATGTCAAACTCTTTGGGGTCTAGTGTGTAATCTTGTGTAATAGCAATAACGTGCGTCATTATTTATTCACGAGAACGTGTTGGTTCTCTTGTTTAGCTGGCCCCATTTTCGATCCCTAGCGCTGACAGATTGCAGCYCTGTCTACACAACATTCTGTGGCATCACGAATGCTTCATCAAGGCTGTCGCAACCCCCGAGAGAGTCATCAGCGGAGACAGTTTGTGCCGTTCCGGTGACGACGATTCCATTCCCGTCTCGTTGCTGCTTGTTATGCTTGCAATGCTTCCGGAACTCTCGCTTATTGTGGCTRCCGGAGTCTTCGCGGTCCGGGCGCCGTCGGAAGGCGTCGACGAGGCCGGGGCGGCGACTTCCTCCCGGTCCGGACCGGSAGCGGCAGACAGCGGARCGTCTTGRGTGGCCCCGGCTTGCTCCGAGGCACCRACCAARCAAGCACCCCGATCGGCATAAAAGGCATATAGCGCCTGRTAGGATGCCGCGAGGTCGCTCGTTCTCTGCTGGTAATCCGCTTCCATTGATGCCTCCATCGCCTGCAACCGGTGATCGAATCGKTTTGACAGCGCCACAATGTCCTTCCTGAGTTCGAGGATGTCTTCCTTCAGGGACTTCATTTCCGACGACGTGGGTTCCTGGGACTTTGTCACCCGCGTGATCCTGTGCAAGAGTTCCGGTTGGCCCCGCCGGAAAAACTCGTGGGCGAACCGCACCGCGCCGGATTTGCTGTTGCTGTTGCTGTTGCTGCCGCTGCTCCGCGGCGTCCACTCCGTGACCGAACTCCGGTCGTCGCTTTCCGCCCGGAGCTTTCGGAACGAATAAAAATTCAGCTGCCTAACGAACGAGGCAAACTTGGAGTGTTTGAAGTACAGGGGGAGGATGTTCTGGAAATCGAYGGRAMAGAGTTCGAGARCGACCGAGCAAATTGTGCCAAAAATCAACGGGTAAGTACATCTGGRTACACCTTGTGGCAGTTCTCTTGTTTTTCGCGACACCAGCGAGTCGATACGGCACTATTGATTTTGTTACTGCCAGTGCTGTTTCTTGYAAAGATCATTTCACGGGAACTGCACTTTTGCTTYGGTAACAGGAAACCTACCTTGGAAAAATAATCAACATCTTTGATCAAAAACGATTTTCCATCCGTCGACCAGCACGCCACCATCGGATTGCATTGCTCTATCATGTGGAAGGTTTCTATGTTGGATCAGAGAACGAAGGAAGATCGAGCTTGCTTAGAATTCATTGTGCATGYAGTACCAATCTAAACCATAATGGYGTAGCTGGTATGTAGCCACCACAACACGAATAGATTTGATTCATTCAAACTTACTGGTCAAGAACTTGTTTAGAAGAGCATTTTTTTTGTTTTTCAGAAACGAAAGCTTATCGTCGGATCGTTTACCGTTTTTGTTCATCGTGTACCCGTCGTTCTGGCTCCTCCGGATGTSCCATCCGTCAGTGTTKGCTCGACGACTGCTATGCAACTGTTATACAACGAGCTGCAATGAAGCAGAGTAGGTCTTTCCTAATCTGTTTGTCTACCGATAGGTCAAGTGTTGGAGGAAGAAGAAGATGAAAGAAAAAAAACAAGATGATGGTATGAAATCATCAAGTCCAGAATGTACGAACCGTACCGTACGGTACAAAACTAAATTCGTTGGTGAACTTTCGCKTCAAGTGAAATGTCGAAATTGTGGAAAGTTTTAGAATTCCGACTTGTTCCTTCTGGTGGCCACAGAAATTTCGAAGAACAACAAGTACGTGTTGTGCGCGTAAWGTTTTGGTTGGATTTTCAGCGCGCAGGAAAAAATGGGGTCGAGTGTACTATGCGTTGTCAATCATGCGTCGAAAATTTTTCAATAAGAAAGTGATGATGATGCAATCACCCCTACCGGTATCGCTCACCACCCATCACGAAGTGAGAAGTTAAAACATCAATTGGTTAACTCGTTACTTGACTACGGAGACGACATTTCAGAATATATATATCATACCGGTAGCATACATATTGATTACAGAGCGTTACGATTGCTGGCTAGAAGTCAAGAAACAAAGTTTAGTTGATACTTATTTATTGTTGTGATGAATCATGCTAGTGAGAAGTGATTTGAGTAATTCCCACCATCGTCTCCGTCTTTGTCGCCTTTGCTTCATATAAAAGCAAAATGACATTCCTTCGGGATTATGCTATCAGCCTTGCACGGCAGCGACGGATATCATGGATAATTTTATTCATTATCTACACYACAGCAGCCTGGTCATTGACAAGCCAAAGAATCRTTTCCGTTCCRCTCGCAGCTAGGACGCCTGCAAGTTTCGCAAATTCCGCAGAAAGAGTCATGCACTACAGCCGAGGTCCGATAATACGAGGACACCGTTCAGTACGATTATCAAATGCAGGTCAAGGACGACCCACTTCMACCGCATCTTTTAGCAAAAGCAGCTTGCTATTTTCGGACCAAGATGATCAAGAGGCACCCGACTTTAAAATCAATGATTCAGAACTTATCGACTCTCTGATTCAAGCCCGTACCACCAGGGAAGTCGAAGTAATATTGAGAAAATCTTTGCCATCAGATGATTTGAATCAGATGGATCTCTTTCCAGAAAGCGTATATGGGGATAATGAAAAAATTGACTTTGACGTGGATAGCGATACTGGGAACATTTCATTTTCMCGTCTTAGTCTCAATGCAACAGCAGCGATTTTGCGTCGAATGGCACATATATCGGTGTTCGAAGCTCGCTCAGAGCTCGCGAATAGCAACRARCTCAAAACCATGAAAATRAAAGTTTCAGATGAAGCCTCACAGAAKTTCTCAAAATTACAAAAGAAAATGATAGCGAGCCTCTTGGAGGCGATTGGGATTAAGCTTATGTCGCACCGGTCATCTCTGTCGCACTCAAAAGCGACATCGCAGCGTACCAACGATCCACAGGAACGTCCAGGGGTATATCCCTTATCGGATGTTCTACAAGCTCTAGCAGTTTTRGCTCCCGACGAAGCAAAGAAGAAAAAGATGAAACCGTTCGCTGTTCTCGTTGTAGAATTTCTGAATGCGCACGAGACTTCAGAACTCTACCGACTCGGACCGATAAGACTTGTCCAATGTCTTCAAGCAATGGCAAAACTAGAAATCGACCATCCTACACTTTACAACAATATCTGCCAACGCCTCCTAAAACCAGACGCTGTTTCGAAAATACCAGCTCGCTTTCTTGCACATGGCCTATCAGCCTTAGCAACATTTCAGACCAGAAGATCACGCGAAAAAGCGTCGAATCCGTCCACAGAATGGGCACTTGGTGGACTAAGAGAAGACAGCAGTGAGGAAACAAATGAAAACGATAACRCTATCGATAAAGATACCATGCGACTTTCGAGGGCATTTATGAGACGTTTGCGCAAGCAAAAGGTTGCCAGAGAGGCTACAGTCGAAGATATGTGTCGTGCTCTGGTAGCGACCCGTGACTTGCTGGATCTTGGCGCTATGGCGAATATGGAAGACGAGGCCGCAATATTTGGATTTACCTGTCTTCGTACCATTTTAGAGACCAGGAAAACTTCAGAGAGTGACAGTTCTCCATCATCATCACCCGAATCACTTTCTCTCAATCCAATACAGGTGACGAACATGATAACTTCATGGGCGAGTTTGAGTGATCAAAGCCGAGAAGATACGGTTATCGGAGATCTCTTACAGATATGTATAGATGATGACATTATCGAMGGATGCAATGTTGCACAATTGGAGCGCATTATACAGTCAATACGRAAGTTGAATGTTGCCAATCATGCAGAAGTCACAAGATGTGTCGGGGAACGACTCATGATAATAGTAGAAGACAATGAACACTCCAACTTTCAAGATATTTATCCCACGACTGTKAACGAAATTTTAAGATGGCCCGTGCTTGTTCACAGAAGGAATAACACGGTTATGGAGCCCTTCGTTAATGCAGCATCCCTTCTCTTCAGCAGAAAATCATTCTTGGAACAAAGTTCTGTGAAGGAAATAGCCAACTTTCTTTGGTTTCTATCGATTGCGCGACGATTCGACGAGAAAATTCTGTTAAACATCGGACACTGCCTAATGGAAGACAAGATGGTAGACTCTTGCTCTCCGAAGATTGCAAGCCGAATTCTTGCCACATTCACCTCTTTGGTAGTCTCGAAGGAAAAGCTCAAGTCAGAGTCACTAATGGAGCTAAAACAAGATCTCTTCTACAACTATGGCGGACACCTGTTGTCGTCTAAATTGTCCTCGGCAGAAACCTCTTCGGCATTGTATGCTTATGCGAAAGCAAATTACGTTCAAGACAAAGGTGTTTTCGATCACTTGGTCGATCTTTTGGCATCATCCAGACATAGTTGTTCCTCAAGACAACTGTCACAGACCCTGTGGTCTTGTGGGAAAATGATTACTTGGGAAAGGCAGGAAATGGAACAAATGGATGATGGAAATTCCGAAATGGAAGAYCCTCCTTATCTTGAAAACGCTTTGAGCATTGCAAAAGAACTCTCTGGCAGGGGCGACGAACTTTCTCCCGCAGATGTCGCTCAAATCTATTGGGGAATCGGAAGGTTAGAAATTCATGATGACACTATGATGTCGCTGTTTGCAAATCGAACAGCAGAAATCTGCTCGTCGATGAATTCCATTGAACTATCGAATGTCCTTTGGGGATTGGCAAAAGTCCGCTACAGTGATGGGAAGCTTATCGGAAGCTTATCAGAGCGACTGACGGAAGACGACATCATAGTATCGTCTCCTCAAGTGGCAGCCAGCATTATGTTTTCCATGGGTAGGCTGCGATGGAAAGACGAAATCTTGTTCCAGAAACTATCATCAACCATGATCGATCAYATCGAGGATGTTAATGCCCAAAGCATCGCCAATACGCTTTGGGCGTTCCGAGCTGTMCGTATGAGACCTCCCCGAGAACTATTGGACACGTGGGCCATAACAAGACTTGGAATCGTACCTGTTACGAATCAGCCAGAGGCAAAATGAAACGTCTTGGGTCAGTGAATTAAGTCTAACCGCGGGAAGAGGACGAGCAGCATCTGAGCACAAATGTGCGGTCTAATAACAAACCAACCTCGAGATTGAGGTAGATAGAACAAATTTTGGGCCAGGTCCGAATTTTGTCGAGATGGAAATTTTTTTCAGATGCTGCTCAAACGCAAGATCAAAACGGAACATTAGAGATGACGWTGTCGATTTCAATTTCCGCTTCTCCCGTTGTGCTAGATTGCAGCAATTGCGATCTGAATCAGAACAGTATTCTAAGTATTAACGATGAWATGGTTGTCCAGACCAAAAAATAAATGAATTGCCTTCAACTCAAATTACGTTTCTATCTTTATGCCTGCTGAAAGTATTTGAAAAGCACACTGAACAAGGCTCCTTGAAGTGCATTTGTTAGCAAACGAGTTTTAAGCCCCCTTCCAAAAAGTCCGGCGAGGCCGTCCTTTTCGATAATCATTTGCACGATTTCTGCATACGAAGGGTCGTTGCTGTTGTCTTGATCGTCGTTTTCTTTCTTTTCAACCGACACTGCAGTGCCGTCGACCCCGCTTCCGTTTGTCCCACCAAGCCGTGCCGTCTGCTTCGTCGTTTTGATTACGCGCAGGCTGTTGGAAGTGACATCGGAAACCGAGGATGCACAAAGTCCAAGAACCGCCGACCGCACTAATGATAACAATAGATCGTCCGCCTTCGAGACAGCAGGCAGCAGCTCGTCAACATAATTGTAGGTTAGAAACCACGGAAAGTGACCCGCGGCAGTGGCCGCGGCCTGCGCAAGAGCGCCGTTGTAAAGCTGACTCGGGCCATCTTTTCTGACGAGTTCGAGCAAGTCTTTYAAGCCCTCTTTTCCTTCCACTTGCATCGCGGTTTTCGACGAGTCGATTGGCATCAGAAAGATTCGCCACAGCCCCGCAGAAACGGATCCCAATCCAGTCTTTACCGGGAGTGGGAGCGTTTGTGTCTCCGGAATAGACTCTAGCAGTGCCAGGATACCAACGTTCGCAGCGGTGTCCCCAAAACGGGTCAACGGACCCTGCACCAATGCAAACGGAAGCCCCTGATAGAGTCGAGGGATTCCRCCCTCTTCCCACAGTTCTTTTAGACTGGATTTGAGGTCACCACCATACCGATACTGTCTGTTCATCGACGTCCGAAGCCACATAAGACTCAGTACCTGAATCACCGCAGCAGAAGCTCCGGCCTTTCCTCCTCCAAGGGCCCGTTTCGATGCCTTTTGAAAAATGGAATTCCAATCTACAGCCGCTGCATCCGAGATTTCCAGCGTCGGTACTTGCAAGAGCGTCTCTTCCACTGTTGAATCCACAGAGGTAATCGGTTCGTTTGCCGATGCCATGTCCGGACTAGACCCGAGCAACGTAGAGGCAAYGCCCGCAGCATAAAGGCCGACAAATACTCTCCGTGTTTTCAATTCAACACTCTCGTCTACAACATCATCGACATTTGAAAGCTGAATACTTGTATTTGAAGACTCTTCGAGGCTCGGGYGTACGAAAGTGCTTCGCTGTTGGATTGTCGAGGTGCTTGGTGTTTCTGGTATTTTGGAAGATGCCATCGTCATTGGCGATGACGAMAACGATTGGACCGACATCAAAACATCGATTCCGACCAGCAAAAATGCAAATGAGAGACCCACAACGAATCTCACTAGTTCAGATAGCGATGGCACCGAAAACCGTYTCGTTGCCGAAAGACTTGTCATGACTGGTGCGAAGAMTAGCTAGACCAGTGCGGCGTATGGCAGCTTATTCAACAAAGAGTACTGCGCGGATTTAGTTAGCTCGAGAAATTGTTGGAATTCTCGGTCTCCGTGACCTTTGGAGATCTTATCGTGCCTTTTGTAGTGGTGAGCTTGATTGATACAACGCAGGCCGACAGAAAAGCAGTTACTTCAGAATTCGGTGTGGTGTTTCGTTGTTTTTGTTTTGATATTCCTGTTTTCTGATTCCAACTCATCGTTTTGGTGATGATTATGTTCACTGAGTTAATCGGAAAACCTGCCTGGATTTGAGAGAGATTGCAAGATATACAGTWTACCTTATGAATRATAKGTACACATCATATGAACCAATTTATCCTAGAAGGCAAGGAGCTACCGTAGAAACARTACGAGTAGTACGAAGTACGTTMAAGKAAGGAACTAGAAGTACGTACCGTAYTTTCGTACTAGCACTGTGATCTACAGTACAAATGTCACTATCCGTTAGGTCACATGGATGGAGCCAGGGATTAAGAGCCAGGTTTTATGATTTATGACCCCTGGATGGAGCACCTTCGTTCCAAAAACWATATCACCTCCCACAATATCAAGGAGAYCGTTGCAAATTAGGTGAGGCGTTGGCGTTGCTTTTGAAATTAAAAATCCGAGTTCKCACAGAAAAARAGAGAAGCAAAGCMTTTTCCTGCACCTGCTCGAYAGATTGATATCACCATGACAGACGCAACTCAAACGCTCCTCGTTGTCCTTGGGGTTACTKGGCTTGCAATGGTGGCCACCTTGTTGATTCCGAGTCTGTCCGTGCMAACACACAGCTTTAGTGCAAGGAGTGATCTGGAAATGGACGCGCATCATTTGCTCAGAAGTKCCAAGAAAGATAGTGCAAAGAGCAGGAAACGCCGTGGTTCACGAGCCATAACGATCGAAAACCTTCCTGCTGTTGCTGCTGCGGCCCTTARTGTTYCGACGAGCGAAAAAATCCTTTCCAATGACGACGTGGACTATCAATCGATAATCGAAAAATGGCAAATGCCAAAAGAGGCAATATCTCTCCTAAGAGACGTGCGTTCGAGACCGGTTGGCTTTGACTACAACCGAGAAACTGACATTCTAGCTCTGCGGCACCCGCTCAAGACAGGAGGAACGTCTTTCTCGATGATGATGAARGAAATATTCGGAGATGGGGTGATGCCGGGGTCCGGAAAATCACAGTGGTTCAAAAGGCAAGATTTTGAGAAGGCCTTGCAGGAGCACCCACCCGAGATAGATCCGAACTATTGGCGAAATATCACTGCCTTTTATACTCATTCATTCCTGCGTGAAACCGACGAAAACAAWAATCTACTGAASGAACTCCGCGCGAGGGTACCAGTTCTCGAAGAAAAAAAGTTTCGATTGATGACGATCGTTCGTAGACCCTTGGATCTAGCGGCTTCGAGTTTTTGGGAAACAAAATGTCGCATAGGAACATACTCAGGGTCGAGAGGGATCAGGGATGCAGAAATTTGTCCCACAGTGAATCTGACAGCGATCTCGGAACAAATGAGGCAGGAAAAACAAGAATGTCTTGCAGGGACGAGGGAAAAGAGGTGTGGCTTTTTGCTCAAGAAAAMAGAACRTTTTTTYGAGKTTTGTGGCTCYCTTGATACCATGCTGGAGAGGGGCGGMGCACACAACCAACTATACCAAAGTTTGATGGGATTCCTACCAGAACCACCCGAGTTCGAAAGGAGTATGACGCCAACACTAAAGGACGTCGCGATCTATWCGATCCAAGACCTTGGAGGTCTGATGGATGTACATAAAAAATACAAGGAAGATATTATTATGTTTTTGATCACCGAACGAATGAAAGAAAGCCTGTGCCTATTTCACTACCATTTTAAAATTGAACCTGTCAAAGAGAGACATGCCCTGTAAGTWATGTCTGGTTGCTGTTTGGAGCAAAATCTTTCGTAAATGTCTGACACAAACATACTTCTTTTGATTTTTTTCCTTCCGCRCGAATGAAAACGGAAATGGTGGTACAGTTACAAACATTGCCGACCATTACGAATATGGGAAGAGAGACACAAGCGAATCGTCGAAGAAAGGGAGCAGTTCGATTATACGGTGTGGCGTGCTGCGAATAGCGTCATGGATGTACGGATGGCGGCCATGAGGTTGGAGATCAAGGGTCGCATCGACGCAGGAGAATCACTCGATGAAATTCCGTTCCTCGGACAGGGTTGCTACGACGACACAACGATATCAAGCACGTGATTTTATTTCGCWATAGATGTATAAATAAAGTCCTTTTTATTTCTGATCTTTTTCGTGCCAYGGCTTTGTTTGGATGTAAAATCGTTCCCTACTTGAGTTTCATTTCTACTTTCATTACTTTCTGATGTCTACGGGCAGACCCATCTTTTCGAGTCTATCCTCGAGGGCGGTCCTCTGTTTCATTCCATATCTGCGTTCGTCTCCAGGCAGTAGTTGTCCCAGAGTGCTTCCCTCGGCGCGCTYAAGATCGACCTCGTCAAGACCAGACTTTCGAATTTGGTTTTCGAGCGCAGCAATYGTTCGCTTCAACAAGCGTTTTTCGTTTCTTCGGTGACGGATGGCCATTCGTTGGTTRTAKGAGAGAAGACGGAACATAGCCTTGTCCTTGATGAGAGCGGCGTCCTCTTCTTCCGTGTTTGGGTATTTGTCCAGTTGTCGCGTGACAGCATTGATCACCGATGTGAGCACCGCAGCCTCGTTCGCCATAGATATTGATCGAGCATAGTCGAACTCCTTCAAAGGTTTTCCACGAGTATCTTCGGGTGTCATTTGCATCAACCGAAGATATTCGAGTAGTTCCACTGGGTATCGATCAGCATAACAAGGAAAGTCGACCAAACTCTCCCTCCCTACCGACTCCAAAAATGCAAGTTTCTCGTCCGCCAAAGGATCAACAATCAAGTTCTCGTCTCCCGATTCCTTTACAAAGGATTTCGTWAGCGGGGAAATCGCCACGGTCACGTCCACAGAGTTGTACGGGTTTCTCTCGACTGCAAATCCATACAAAAGCAAGAGCTCWGCATTCGATTTTTGACCATACGAAATATAAATTTGCTCCATTCGGCGATAACCCCGGTCGGCATAGAGAATCACTTCTTCTTCGCCACTAGAAAAGAGCCAGTCGCCACCTTCCCTAGCGTCGATGAACGCTTGAGAAAAGGGTGAGTGATTGATAAGATCCGCATAAGGTACCATGGAGAGAGCCTCGCCATCTCTGAGACTGCGAAGTCGGATGGCACGAGAAAATAGCATGGTGAAGGCCCAGACCCAGTTTTCATACGTGAAATGCTATTGGAATAGGGTCGTACGAATCGTGGTCAATTCAAGGCACGGTTTTTGAGTGATGGGTTTGTGAAGAAGGCAGCTAACGGAGCTACTGTGCTGCGCTAAAGATTTTTTTCCCCCCTCCACTAAAGCCAAAACGGATTGCGTAAGGAACGTACCTCTTTAGGGAATCGGTCCGGGTGTTTACTGATTAGACCGTCTTCGCCACCCAGCAAATCATTGTATTCCCGTTGGAGTTTCATCTGCAGTGATTTGGTAGCCGCAATAATTGGAGATCCATTCAAAAAGGATAGATCGTCATCGCTCCAAGTGAACGTCGGGTTCACTTCTTCGGTTTCGGGAAGAACGTCGATGTAAGGCTTCCAGAAGGATTTTTCTCCCAGAACGTATCGYTCGTGGATCAACTGGCAAGCAATCGCTAGGTACTCGTTGATCTCTCTCGGAAGGACATCCTTTCCGAGAGCTTTTCTAGCAGAAGCCTTCGTCAAACACAATTTCAGAGGTACTTTCAAAAGACTGTCTCCGTCGTTGATGTCACGGCGTGCCAAAAGACCTCGTCCCGACGATTCGTTCGTAATTTCGTCCTTGGTTTCCGTGGAAATGGCCATCGGATGCGGAGCTTCACCCCACGACGATTCTTCGCTCAGGTACATGTCTCCTTCCTCGCTCAACCAATTTATGAGTCTGGCGTTCGCGCTGAGCTTTGGATTTCCGTCSATCTTTTTTCCAAGCAGACCCTTCATTTTCATTTCGTCTTCAAAGGCACCGGGAACGGGCGCTGTCGATTCCAAAAGGGCTTTGACCCACTCGCTCTCCCCTCCTTCTCCTCCTGCCATCCATTGTTGCGTTGATCGAGAGGACGAAATACTCGTGGGAACAAAGGCTTCTGATCGAAACAAAACCAGCGACCCCGATGCGAGGAACAATGAGAATCTACTCGATGATAATATCATTGTGGATGAAATTGGTACAATACAATAATARACCTTTAAGAATGGAGCCGCCCCGCCTGACTTTTCGATCGACCTGMTGTAGGGATATTGAAAGGAAACGACGTAGTGGTTGCAACCGAGAGGACAATCAACAAGGATCAGTCATACAGCTTCAACAAAAAATAGTGCTCCAACCAAAGAACTTGCCGGGTGAAATCGAATTGTTTCTACCGCGGTACCGACTGATGATGTGTTCACTTTTGGTGAGCGGTCAGCTTTTTTTTTCTACCGATTGAGGTTCGTTCAGGTCCTAGGGTACTCGTACGAATACTCGTACGAGAACGAGAACGAGCGTTACGTAGCGTATGGTACAAAAGGCAAACAGGCATGTTTTGTCACTAGCGAAGTGTAGATAGTTGATCGAACACGCTTAAACTGCTTCGAAAACACACACTTCCACGTGTATCTGGGTACCGCGGGAATTCTATTTTGAACGAAAAATATTTGTTTCTTGCACTACATTACGGAATACAGCCCCTACGACACCGCCGCTCCGCCGAATAGTCCCGGGATACGGCTACGCCGAGGAGGACCTGCCAAAAATCTTTTCTGTTCGAACTCGTTTTCCGAAGACTTGACCAATTCATGAAGCTTCCGTTGTGTTTTCACCGCTCCCCTAAATCTCTGATTCATTTGTCATCCTGAATTATGACAAATGGTAACGGTACGTAGTACGTACTAGTACGTACCCATTTGTGCCTCATCGTGGAAAGATTCTACTAGTGTGAATAGAAAATGAGAAAAAGAAATTCGGATGAGGGAAGCATCAGAATGCCATGTATTCGCATGCCCAAGTGACTCTACGCATTAAGCGTCCACAAACGYTCCGCTTCTGCCATCGACAGATATTTTCATCATCAATAGGTACGGTTTTCTTTCCGGCTCATGCAGAATCCAAAAAGTGATGGCTTACTAAACAAGAAATCGACTCGCTCCGTCAAGTGAAGGGATCYAGGCATATTGGATAACACGAGTGTCCTACCACACATAGGATCGTGGCTGATATTTCCCTTTGTTCTCACCACTGCTATTTACAATGCTACTCCCTCTGAATCTCCTGTTCTGGGTCCAGCATCCTCCAATACGATGAGCAGCAACCCCTCRAACGAGCCGGCGCAGGCCGGGCAACCACAGGCTCGATACAACGGCCCCGATCCAAASGAGATGACCCCAAAGCAAAAGGAAATCCACGAYTATATACTCGCGTCACGCCCCAGAACGGGCCTGAGCGGACCCTTTGGTCCCTGGATGGCGGTCCCGGAAATCGCCGAACCCGCCTCGAAACTGGGCAAGGCCTGTCGCTACGACACCTCCCTCTCGTTTCGAGAGTCCGAGCTGGTGATTCTGCTGACCGGGGCCCGGGCGCGGTCGCGCACGGAATTTTCCATTCACACCGGTGAGGCCCTCAAGGCCGGGATCGGCATGGAGGTCATCGAAGCCATCCCCCGCGACGACGACTTTTCGGTGCTGGCTGTCCGGGAGCGACTCGTCCCGCTGCTCGAGACCGACCGGGAAAAGGCCATTGTCGGATTCGCCGCGGAGCTCCTGGATACGAGCACGGTCTCGGACGAGACCTACGAAGCGACAAAGACAGCTCTGGACGGCAAGGATAGCATTCTGGTAGAAATCACCAGCATCGTGGGGTATTACACGTTTGTATCCTACACACTAAACGTCTTTCGGATACCTGCGAAAGCRTAGGTGATTGGTTCGGTTGGTTTTCTTGTGCCTCTCTATAGAAAACCAATGCGAAATRCTAGAAGAAACGAACATCAAACGGAAYAGCTAYTAGTTTTGATGGTGGATGCAATTTACTGTACTACTACTATCCTTCAACAAGCAATCATSTCCACCAGCACTTTCWATTAGTACCCTATTGTTAGAATGGTTTCTCTTACTGCATTTTCCTTTTCCTATTCGATCCCATTGCCTKCATTATCCATGCAYTATAAGAACCCATATATTATATATACTTCTAGCTCAAACATGCAAGCAATTATGTTGATGGCATTGGCCATGCTGAAGTTTATCATCAATTTGATGAGATTTTGAGTTTCGTCTCAAACTCCTTGGCAGTTAGGGGGGTCCAACTCAGGGGAACTATTTTTAGTTAAACTCAAAGAATTTTCTCCCCCCCCCTTACAGCGTCACGTCGACATCGGTTGGTGGGCATCGTTGACGACTTCGTAGCAATTCTAGTAGCAATCGTACGTAGAGGCTTCAGTTACCTACCTACACCAACACGTAAAKACCGTACGTACGAGTACCGTGCGAAACTCGTACGGTAACTCGTACCAATTTGTGTTTCCGACAGCATTATTTCGTCCTTGTCTTCATCCTCGTACTCGTACCACTGATTGTACTAAACGAATAACAGTTGCAATCCAATCGACCTTCTACCCTCCTACGGCACAACACTCCTCTGATTCCCAACCTATTGCGCATTGCGTTCCATTGCAGTCACAGAAAGGGACATMGAACAAACCATGATGATGAACGAYGGATCTTCTRCCCAGATGGAYGGCTTTGCCGGCCAGCAACAATCCGGGGACCCTGGAACCACGGCACAACCCGCGGCACCCATCGACAACGACCCCCTCCCCCGGGCGCCCGAGCTCTTGTTTGCCAACAGCACAGAGGACAAAAAGCTGTACTGGGATCGATCCCACTACGATTCTCCCGAGTCCCAGATGAAGGCCCTGACCAAGTCGAGCACGCTTTACATTGGAAACATGGCGTTTTCGACGCGCTCYGCCAACGTGCATTCCCATTTCTCCCAGATCGGTCCGGTCCGGCGGGTCATCATGGGAATGGATCGSTTTCAGAAGACGCCCTGTGGCTTTGGCTTTGTCGAATACGTCCACAGGGAGGACGCCCTCCTGGCGATTTCCAACCTGACGTCGACCAAGCTCGACGGGCGCATCATTCGCGTGGAACTGGACGCCGGCTTTCAGAGCGGGCGGCAGTACGGCCGCGGGGCGAGCGGGGGACAGGTCCGCGACGACAAGCGGAGGGGCCGGGTCGATCCGGCGCGAAACAACCCCCACAAGCGGCAGAAGACCCTGAACTGGACACCGGCCGATCAGGTCCAGCAGGAACAACACAATCAGCAGCAGCCRCCACCACCGCCACTTCCCCAAAGCCAGCAACCCATGGGGGGCGACGCAATGGCCGGTCCAGWAGGTGCCACCGGTGGGATCGCACAACCGCCGCCGCCACCGGGRGAGCCGCCGCAAGAAGGCAATTCGAGATTCCGGGACGAATAACGCGTTKCGGGTGTGTCGCGGGAAAGGATGCTGCATACTTTGTTTATGTAGGGAGAAGAACACGGTGGAAAGCAGTGCGGTGCTTCCCCCGTCGATAACACGGCACGGAATTGCCGGTACAATCGATTTCGAAAGAATTCCGGCGCCGTTATCGTGTAGTGATATTTTCAAGGCAGCTGTTCTTTGCTTGTCGCGCCATAGCGACTGGATGCGATAGCAGTGGGGAGAGTAAATAAGATTTTCTTTTATATGTCTGATCCTTTGGCGTAACATGTTTTGGTTTCGAAAGAATCACTCTGGCTTGAATCGTCCGGGAAAAACTAGTGGCATCGCACAAAAAGATACAAGTTACTACTAAGTAAAGGTAATTTTAAAGAATAGAATRCAATGCCAATGAAAGGCAGAAACTGTACTCGYACTCCAAGGACAATTCAGCGAAAATCCGTCTTCCCTCACTGCAAGTAGGCCAACAATCTCGAATAGAAACCCAGGAAATTSGAAASAACGTCTGGTGAATCCTRATTTTATTCGAAGGGTCCGGCGAACGAAAAAAAMMRG